GATATTAAATTCCATTAAGTTAAGTTAATGTGGTATTTGTGCAAATAAAATTACAAAATTATGTTAGTATGCTAATATTTACAAAGTTGTTATATTTATGTAATAAGAAAACAAATTGATTGTACATGGTGCAATTTCCTCTTTTCACTATGTTCCTTTTTTTTGGGTCACATTTTTCCACTTAAATACGTTTTAGGGAAATGCTAATGTCCTGTTACGAAATCATTCTATTATGACTTGTAACCGTTAGATCATCATGTACCGTCAGAGATAGTTAATCTAACGCTTACAAACTCCGACAGACCGGTTTCGTAAAATAACAGTAACATCTTTATTGGATTTTGGGATAAATAAACAACTCAAAAGGACAGCTGAAATCGATCATGTATATGGACTTTCTCAATCAATCTTTTGCAATGGGGTCACAAACTCACAAGTATTATTAAGTCATGGGACTATAATGGGCCCCGCCCCCGTGTAACCAACGTCCAAATCTGTTCATGACAGTATAGAACATATTTACAATTACAATATCTAAATGATTGGGAAGTTCTTCGAACCGTTATTCACTAAACTTCTATGCTAAAACAATTATTAATTAACGCTTGATTGAAATAATTTGTGATTAACCACTTCAATTTGGACTTATTTAAGCATCTTATAAGGGCCAATGATGGTGTCATCTCAACAAAACGAGACAAATCATGTAGACAGAGCCGGTCCTGAACTTTATAAGGCCCCGGGCGAAATGTGCTAAATGTTGCTCTTGATTATTTTTATTTTTTTAAGTTAATAAAAAAAATATAACTCGCAATAATTAAAGCATGGAAATTTGAAATAAAAATATAGCTAAATTTAAAAAAATATTTAATAAATTTCTTAAGAATCGCAAGTGAAAAAAGAGAAAATCCTTTTAATTCAAAGAATAAAAAAACAATCAAAGCTCCAAACTTTCATTTACTTCATATATGTGACTTAAGTTTAGTCAAATACATAATACTCAGTTATAATTATATAGAATTTTTTTTATTGAAAAGTTATTAATTTGTAATTTATATTTAACAAAGTTAAATAAAAAATCAAAATTGAAACTCGTTGAATTCACTTAACTCTTTTATTGGCTATCACTATAACATAATTGAATTGTGCAATCATAAAATAACTTTTTGTATATTCAAACAAGAAGAAAAAGAAAAGTATTAAAAATAAGAGAAAAATATGCAAAAAAAAAAAAAAAATAATAATTTGACTAATAATAACTACTATTTAATTTTGTTATGAAATTTATAAGATGGAGAAAATATAAAAAGCCTTGTTAAGAAATGAAAAAAGTGATTTAAAATTAATTTTATATTCAATATTTTTTATTATATAATTAATATATATGTATATATATAAATATATAATAAAAGTATATAAAAATGGGCCCCGGGGTAAGAGGGGGCCCTGGGCGGTCGCCCGGCCCGCCCTACCCAGGGCCGGCCCTGCATGTAGATAAAGTTCCACCCATTGGAAGTCCTTCCTTCTAGAGGATACAGTAGTTCCATAGACTATTTTTTCACATTTAGGGTATGTTTGGTAAACCAAATAAGCTAGC